CAAATTTTAAAGTTCTCATATGTTAAGCGTATTTAAATGTAGATTTTTAGGCAATTTTTGAATACCCCTATCACCCCCACCCCTTCCTTTTTTGCGTCACAGACCATATTAGCGTTTGACGAAACGTCGTTTACAGTGCAAATATACTGGTACATGTATTTCGTCATTTGAATCCCGGAGGTATGCATTAGTTTTTAAATTCATGAATGCAGAATAAATATTGACTACTCTTTTTATATGTATTAGGAAAAAATTACTGAAGGATTTTAGTGTTTAGTCCATATATGTATGCGTTATGCATTCCATATGATTATCACATGAAACCTGGATACGAATTCAAGTTTTGTTGAACTTGAATACGTTGATTTTTAATTTTATTTCTTTAATTTTATTCATTAAAAAATGGTGTATGTTCAACTCTCCTGTGATATAAATGGAATAATTGTAGTTTCTTTCATGTCATTATTTCAAACGAGAGTATGTGGCCGTGGGGATACATCGACATTTGCATAGATGTACACCCCTCATGATATTGTACGCATTTCTTTCAATGTCGTCGCTTCTAAAGTTAAAATGAAAATTCCGTATTCGTCCACATTAACTTCAAAATATCAAACATTAAACTCTTCATCTATTTCAATTTATATCAAATCGCACTTTGATATTTTTTAAAATCTTATAGGCTACGTTTTGTTTTGATTCGAGGAAATGCGAACCGACATTGTTGACAGAAAGTCAAACGATTTGCTGCAATAGGATATTCATAAATGCAGATAATTTCAGTACAAGTGAACAATTCTTTTCAATTCTATACTTACATTGTGTATATGAGGTCTATAGTATTCAATTCTCGGATTTATCAGGTCTTATAAATGTATCTGATTCTGTGGAAAACCGTGAATAAAGGGAGGAAAATAAACATCTCCTACATTTTCCGAGTTGTTCCTCTTTGATCAGTAAGGGTCTGAGAACAACATCGACTTTACATTGTAAAAAGTTTTTTTGTTTATTTATTGTTTTAAATTATTTAATCAAAGAAGAAAAAGAAAATCGTAAATGCACAAATTGTAATGAAGACCATTAATCGGAATGTTATATAGCCAATTGTACATAATGAGAATTTCGGCAATGTTAAATAAAATTTTCAGAATAAAAAAAAAAAGCTGCACTTTGATCAAAAATAAAATTTATTGTATATGAAATGAAATGAAATAAACATTAAGGGATGGTATTTTATGTCTTGCTTTTTACGGAGTTTAATCGGGTTGATTAAAAAATACTTATTGATTGAGTATGTTACGCACAATCACAGCCAAGGCCATGTCCCAGTTCTTTCATGATTGATTTACATCGGGATCGTTTTACTCGTCGTTTTGACGCTTTATTTTTGACGTTAAATTTGACGTCATGTCAAACGTTCAGTTGAAATCGCAAGAGTTATCTCCCCCAGTGTGTTGTACGTCTTTAAATCCTAGGATGTTAATAGCATCTGCCAATATCAAGGTGATGTAACACCAAGGATCTTGTATAGGGAATGGTGCAATCTGGGTTTCCCAAATTTAGTTGCATTATCAAAATGAGAGAGAAAATAAAGTACATTGATTAACTTGTTAAACAAACCTCTGACCTTTGTGAATATACTAGCATTAACACAGCCTGTTTCAAACTGCCTTAAGTACAGGTTACGGACACTACAGGATTTTGTAGTGCCCGTAACCACATTTGTGATCATAGGAGAGAAACTGGTGATGATCAGGAAAATTACAACACATCTCAGCATCTATATGAAATGCCTCTCTAGGAAATTTGTTAAGATATTTGTAGAGCCTTCCAATTTCACAGAATTTAAGTGGTTACGGACACTACAGTTTTTTGTAAAAACTTAATTTTCCACATTAAAACATGATGAAATTTCTTTACAATGGTTACATAACCCAACTTTTTTTCTGTAAGTATAACAGAGCATTAATACTATGATTCTAGACAGAAATCTGAAAAAGTTAAATAATATGGACATTATTTTTATTTGGCATAATGAGAGGGGTAAAATTATGTGAAAAATGTATAACATTGCACCCCTGTTTCATTTTCTTTCATATCTTCAAAAGTTGTTCAATTCTGAAAATTCAAGCACCAAAATAATTCGTAAAATAAATTCTAAAGTCTGATAATGATCATTGGCATGAAAATGTATGATATTTAACAATTATTTCAATTGAAAAATGCTGTAATTTCAAAGCGCAACCGCATAACGCTGAAAAATAGTCATTTTTGGGTACATTTTTTGCATTTACTTAAATTCTGTTAAGGCTAGATCAACAAAATTTTGCACACAAGTCCTTTATAAGTATTTCTATAAATGAATTACAATAAATTGCATATAAAGAAAATAACATTTCTTAAAATCATGTATAACAATGTGGTATTCTAAATGAGCCCTATATTGTGTTTCACCCGATACCAATAAACAAAATATAGGAATTTATTCAGACATAGGTCATACTTCACAGTACACAATAGATTTTCCGTAATTCAATGTGTCCGCGAACTTTTCTAACGACCCTCGTATGTTATATTAAAAGTTTAAACTTTATGAAGTTAAACTTATCTATAACAGTCTAAGTCAAGCGCATCGTTTTCGAAGGTGGGGGGCAGCCCGGGAAAAATATTCAGCTAGCTTAGCACTACCTGAAAAAAATGACAAGCCACAAAAAGGGAAAATTGTCCAAACTCGTAATTAAATCCAATTTTGAGGGGTGGGGTGTACTTCTTTCAGTGCGTTTTTTCACTAAAACACTACATTGCCCTTATTTGAAATTGCCAATACTGCAACCGAAAGTGGGGAGGGGGGGCAATTAAGTAGACTTTCAATGAGCAATTTCTATAGCATAACCTTATGTCTGAAGAGGGGGAAAGGACCCCCCCCCCCCCCCCCCCCCCCCACCGGCCGATGCTACGTGCCTGGCGCGTTATGGTTTTATATTTTAAGGCTTTGACCGTAAAGCCGAATTAAGATTCCGTAATGCAAACAATGTGTAATTTACGGCGCAAGATTTTCGATCTGCGCACGGTTAGGGAAGTTATGCCTTTTAATTTCAAGCATTGGTCAATTAACTGCATAATCAAGCATTTCATTACCTAATTCTAAATATATTGTACTTATGATTACCAAACTGTATATGTTTTTATCTCCTTCTTATCTCATATAGTAGTCTCTACATGCAGACCATAAACTCGCTTGTTGTGAATTTGGATGAGAAAAACTGTTTCCTAAAATTGTTCTGTGGTGGACGCATTGAAAAATTGAATATAATTATATACGCACTTAAAAAACAAAACAAAACAACAAAACAAAACAAAACAAAACTAGAGGTACTGTGAGCAATGAGCTCACTATAAATGATACCCCCTGCCTCCCATATGAATATAATAGCAGTGTCCATGTTTTGCTGTGGGAAACCCAAAATATATGTAGGATCAAAAAGTAAAATAGAAGGTACACAATGGCAATATGTAATAAAGATTCATCAAAATTCATTCAGTGGTATGAGAGGAGTTGTGGATAAGAGATGGGCACCCCAAAGCGTAACAGACAGAAGGACGGACGGACGGACATACCGATTTCAGTATACCCTCCCACTTTTCAACGCGGGGGGTATAAAAATCAAAGTGCGTTAAAATTGTGATCAAGTTAATCATAACACACTTTCTAAGATAAAACTTTTTTTTTTCGAAATGCGTTAACATCGACCATATTAATTAACACACTTTGAAACTAGAGGTACTGTGAGCAATGAGCTCACTAAAGGATAACCCCCCCCCCCGTCTCCCATATGGTTATAACTGATGGCAAAGTCCATGTTTTGCTGTGGCCGGGAAACCCAAAATATGTGTCGGATCAAAAAGTAAAATAGGAGGTGCACAATGGCAATATGTAATAAAGATTCTGTGAAAGTTTCATTAAATTTCACTCAGTGGTATAAGAGGAGTTGCGGATAAGAGATGGGTACCCTAAAGCGTACCAGACAGACGGACGGACGGGCGTACAGCTAGACGGACGTACAGACGGACGGACATACAGATTACAGTATACCCTTCCACTTTTCAAGCGGGGGGTATAAAAAAATAAATGGGTATGACTTGGTCATTATTCTTCGGTGTAACTTTTTTTTATAACCCCCGCTTGAAAAGCGGGAGGGTATATAGTAATCGTTAATTCCGTCCGTCCGTCCGTCCGTCCGTCCGTCCGTCTGTTACGCTTTGGGGTACTCGATCATCTCTTATCCGCAACTCCTCTTATATACCACTGAATGAAATTTGATGAAACTTTCAGAGAATCTTTATTACATATTGCCATTGTGCACCTCCTATTTTACTTTTTTATGCGACACATATTTTAGGTTTCCCGTAGCAAAACATGACACTGCCATTTATACACATATGGGACATGTGGGAGGAGGGGGGTATTATTTAGTGAGCCCATTGCTCACATTTACCTCTAGTTTTTATATAGATGATATCACATCCGGATCTAACATTTTAAATTTATATCTCTGAAATATGAAAGCCCTAGCACCATGCAACTACATGAATTCAAAAATTATGACAAAAGTGGATAAAACTCCAAAGTCAATTAAGATCAAGAGGTTAACTAATGTTGATGCCAAAGGAAGGCCTTACCACAAGGAATACATATGTGAAATATTCATGAAAGCCATACACCTCAAACCAATGAAAAGTTTTTTGCGAACAAACAATTATAAACAGACAAACGAACAAGGCAAAAACTAAATATCCCCGAATTTTCGATAACGGCTTGCTTTCGTAAAATCTAATTATTGCATAAAAATTTAAACGTTTAGTATAACAGAAAGTATCACCAGACTTTAAAATTAATATCAAATTGTTTCTACTGCTGCTCTGCTGTTAGAATGGACATTTATACGTACAAGTTGTTTAATAATCAATAATCGACCAATCAAATCCTTCGTTCTTCTTTCACGTGGTCTCATGTCAGAAAGAGAAAAAAGTCGATGCATGGTTGAGAAAATGATATGGCAAATCTCTTTGATAGACTGAAAGAAACATTCACGCTGCAAGCTTCTGACAATTCTAAGAATGCATCATCCAATATAAAGAAGGAACCAGAACCAGAAACCGATGTCACGCGAGAAAACGTGGAAGCTCCCCAGGCCAGACGGGGCCTGGTTTCCGCGTACGCCGTCAACAAACAAGATGGCGGGAAGACTTCAGAGGTGAAAATCTGCTCATCAGCACGTAGCGACGATGCTTCAAAAATGAAGACTGATTCCCAGTTTATCATCCCCAAAAGGAAAAGAGATGAAAGTGGTAAATAAGGATTATTTTATTTATATAAATAAGGACATCAGGGGAATGAAGGAAAAAAGTTTTAGACTTTACTAAAATGAAAGTAGGCATTCAGTTTGTTTTGTTAAATTTTTAAATTGCAGTATATTATAAATATTTATAATTATATATGGAAAATTTTTCATAACATTCTGTTATTTTTTTCAGATATTTTGGTAGATTTGATGATCAATTCCCGTGAATTCCAGTATGAAATATTACCAGCAATTGTGAAGAGTTACAGAAACTCACAATCAGCAGAAAAATTTAAATACACCAAAGTACAAAGTGTGCACAACAGAGATCTACTCAAGCTGGTAATTATATGCATAACTGGTCAGTGGTTGGAAGAGCTTTTGCAATGGAATGTGTCCATCGACGGTTCAAGTAGAGAAAGAAATTGAGCAATTTAATATTTTAAATGTAACTGTTATCAATAAGTACAAATCAGAGTAGCTAATCTCAGAAGAGACTTCTGGCTCAAGATTTAGCATAAAGGAGTGAAATGGATCACCATGGTATCGATTCACTGCAGCATTTTTTTATTGGTTTGATACATGTTGCTAAATCACCACTTTCTGTTCAGCTCATTTTTCAGTCAGGATCATTATTCATTCAGGTTTAGTATAGATTTAAACACATTACTAAGCAAAATTAAGTAATAAAGAAGTTTTTTTAAACACCCAATTTTACGTTGATGCCCCCAAAATCTACCTGACTCAAGATCAATTATTTACTGCCTGTCAGTCATTTAAAAAAAAACCAATAGCTTCTGATTTCAATGACAGGCCAGCTATCTGTGCTAGCTGATAATCTGAGTTCGTATGTTTTGAAGACAATTGCCTGGTCATGCATCAAACACTTTCATGTACCCACCTTGTATACACAGCTGATACACGCGGGGTACAAAAACCAGTAAAGATTTTATTTCAAAAAATAATTTAGAGTAGATAATCAAAACACTGATTTCATAAAATATTTATTTTTAATCCTCACAACTGTTTGGTACTTGTAAGTGACATGTCGTCCGAGATATCTCTAGAAATATTTAGGTCGTCCACAGAAATTCTATTTACCGCAATTGGAAGTCCACCGATTAAAATAAAAAAAAAATAGAACAATAACATGTATATATAAATAAGTAAAAATATTCAACAGTAGTGGCATGGTTTACAAAAGATGTTTTATTTTTGTATAATGGATTCAATCTACAGTGCTCCAAGTTGCGACTAAAATGGTCGCATTTGCGACCAAAAAATTGATTTTGCGACTAAAAATGAAAACACACTCGCATTTTCGCGACTGAGAAAATTTGGGCTGGAAATGTCCATTTTTAAGATCGGGATCGAGATTTCATTTGTAAAGATTCTCTATCAAGAAAATGTTTGATGACATATACTGAAATACACTTTATAAAGTGTCTCATGGACTTGGATCACGTAATGTTAAGGCAGCATGCTGTAAAAAGTTTGATAGAACCAGAGACGTGTATAAATAATGTTCCTGATAGAATGACATCCAAGCTTCGAAAACTTTCTAAGATCTGACCTTGTTATTGAAGTATTTGGTCAATTGCTTGCATATCACAATGAATCATGCTAATAAAGAGTGTTTTGGCGGCAGTTATAATGACTGTGTAGTAGGTTAGGTACGTAGTAGTAAGTAAACATGACAAACACTGAAACAGCAGGCAAAGTCCTGTCTCAACAGCTGTCAAGCTTGTATTTTCATTTGATAAAATGTTATTTCTGTAATCAGATTACTTGTGTTCTTCTGTACAACCATAAGGGTACATGTATTCAATAAAAATATTTCATTCAACCTAGCAAATTTTTATAGTAACAGTAATAAGTAATCTTTGACATAATAAAGACATAATACATATTCCTTATTTAAATCATCAAGTTTTATTCACAGAATGTATTTTTTTTATGGCAAGTGAAATATTTGATTATGGCGACCAAAAAAAATTTTTAGGTTGCCATTTTGCGACCTAAGAGCAAGTGTGACTTGGAGCACTGATCTACACAATGTTGTTAACAGAGATCTGGATGTCTCTGGTTGTAAAGAAATGTCAGAATTATATTGCTCGAATTTCCTCTATCGTCTGTCTATATTCGTAATGAAAAGGTGAAGATAACGAACATAGATCGACCCTAACAAGAAATCTTTCAAACAATAAAAGTTTGTTTACACACAAACACTCGGAAATATTGAATAATATCGACAACATTGTTGACCAGAAAATTCAAAAAAATCTGATGATTGCGGTAAATTTTCACACGACGGATGAATGGAATTTTTTTTATTTCAACATATATACACTTTTCTTTAATCATGATGGTTTATTTTACTGAAGATTAAAAAAATATATATTATGTAGAATTGGTTGCTTTCTAGTATTTACACAATCTTATAATAAAACTATATTTCTTTATCATTTTATCCTTCAAAAGATTACGAAGAATGCATTTAGTTTACAAATGAATTTTATATTGAAATAATTTAATTATATTAAGGAGTTTCACTAAAAATTAGACACGAAACGTAATGTTGACCCTGATTTCCAAACAGAGACTTGCTGTGTAATGCTACGTATACACAGATTTTGACATCTTGAGTATTGGGTCTCTAGGTAAATAACACCACTGTTACATAGACCACTCCCCCACCTCAGGTAACTGTATGGTTAAAAAAAAATGGGTCTTTAAGGACTATATAGCTTGCAAAATAATCTGTAACATTCAAATCTTTCGTAAATGAAGTGACTAAATTAAGTAAAAAAAAAAAAAAAAAACCATAAAACAATTTATCAAAGACATCTTATAGGAAATAAATGTTAAAAATAAAATTGTATGGTACATGTTGTGCCATGAAGGAATCCTATTAGCATTCCATAGCATTTGTACCATTTTTTGTGACCTTTTAGGGGACTTTGGGTATATCCATTACAATTTTTAAACAAGATGTATTTTTATACCCCCCCGCTTGAAAAGTGGGAGAGTATATAGTAATCGAGATTTCCGTCCATCTGTCTGTTATGCTTTATCTCTTATCTGCAATTCCTCTTATACTACCAAGTGATATTTAATGAAACTTTCACAGAATCTTTATAACATATTGCCATTGTGCACCTCCTATTTTACTTTTTTATGCGACACATATTTTAGGTTTCCCATAGCAAAACATGGACATTGCCATTATATGTTTACCTATGACGTCACATATAGAAGCTTCTGGATAACATTTGATAGGACGAGTTATTCCTCTTTACACATTACCGTAAAACAATATATAGCAACACATGGACATTATATGGGAG